GGCACCCTGAGATGGGATAAGAACCCTTTCGCATTATGAATGCGAAATTAATCAAATACTTAAACGAGTTTTGAATCATTCAATAGTTATTGAATAATGCAATTAGAGATGTACCGAGTCACAGAAAATGCGGATTTTAATCGAATTTATATTCCCCAAGACTCGAATATTCGATTATGTTGCTTCTGTAATATTTTTGTCAATTGGGAACCGATTTCGATTAATCTTTGTTTTGTTTAAATGTTTATATTACTATTATGAAATTTAGAGTTTTTTAATGAAGGATAATGTACAGCTGAAAATTTTTAAGTGTCTAACTGGTTTATCACATAAACCGGTTAGAAACTTAAAATGAAAAAAAAAAACTATTTTGATTAAAAAAATTGTAATTAACTTAGAAATAACAACGTATTGATACATTTAAAGCTGTTAGCAAATACAAGAAAAAGCTTTTGAAGTCGGGTTGTTAATTAAAAATTACCTAACTAAATATATTATATATATATATATATATATATATATATATAAACTCCATTACGAATGTATGACGTGGTTCAGAATTCTTGGCCCACTTCAATAGATGTATTATCTTGAATATTTTAACCTCCTTTTTATCACTCATTAAATATCATTCTTAAATTTTTAAGTCCACTTTCGTCTGCTAGAGCTTTAAATAAAATTATTGAACTCTACAATTTAAAGTCACATAAATCACATTAGTAAATTTTCAAACCAGTCGAATTTATACAAGATCAAAGTAATTTGGTATCATTAAATATATAACGAGTTTATAGCACCGTTTGACACCGTAGAAACAGAAACCACCGTAGAAACATCGTTGATATTAAAATTCACCTAATCCTCGACAGGGCGGGCGATGACAGCGAGTGTCATTCAAATGTCCTTGCATGGAGATTCTCTGTTGCAGTTCTCAAGGCCTACGTATCACGAACTGTTTTATTGTAGTCTCGACTTACGAACTTTGACCTTGATAGAATCTGTACATGCCGTACATAAAGTGAGCGCAGCAGGCAAGGGTGATCTGTACAAATATTATAAACTGGAAAGATTTTATTGTTCGTTTGTTTGCATTGAATTGGCGCCAATTATATTGGATTGATCTCGATCTTTTTTTCACCTATGAAGCTACAGCATACACGGATGATATAGCCTATAATTTCCCCGGGGAAGTTGCTGATTATTTCTAAACTTTTTTAAAACACGATAGCGTCATCTTCTCCCTTTTCGGACATAGTTCGGATTGTCTTAAATATTTTATATTTCTTTTAATGTTTTTCGAGATTTTTTTTATTCACCAATTAGCAAAAGAAAATTTTAAGAAAGATTTTATCATATTGTATTTTTTTATACTCAACATTTTCCAAAAAATTTGGTCCACTTGAATAACAATGGCGTCTTTGGCTGAATATGACAAAGTATGATAAACTTGCCAAAACCACATGATCTATGTTATACTTATATATACGTGTAGTTGTATTGTTATTCACTTACGCTGCGCAACTGTGTGCCAGGCGGAACATGCAGTGTCCCGGCATGTTGCCCGCCGTCGGGTATCGATCAAGGAGCGGTTATGTTTCCACCATCGCATCGCCTCCTGGATGCAGTCACACCGATGCACCTTGCTTTACTTTAAAGAAAATAGATACAATAACATTTTTAACGTGTTCTATGAAGATAAAATAACTTAATATTAAATATAAGACAACATCACATATCGTTATCCTTTTGAATTTACTGTATATTTTCACCGGTTTGACTGTGGAGAATGCCTTTCGGCATTAAATTTGCCATTTGCTGTTTTTAGGCAAACAGCCAGTTGTACAAACGTCTATTTGTCATTAGTTTAAAGCGTCATTACCGATACAAAATTGACATTAATTAGAGCTTAAAGGCGTCGTTAAACTTTAATGGACGTTTATGTAAGTGACCGAAAAAGGATTAAATGAAAAAATCACATTCGTTTCTCATATTCCAAGTAGCTAAACCTTTGCATTATGGAGTATTTGAAACAACGAAATTACCGTAGCTTTCAGACCCGAGACAATATTAAAAACATCTTATTATGTATTGTCACGACGGGGAAGAGAATCCGGGGCCTTAGACATGACGATACCTTAAAACCAATGGCACTCGGCCACGGAGGACATTTTCCTTTATTTTGATAATGATTCTAAATCTATATTAATATTATAAAGAGTTAAGTTTGTTTGGTTGCTCCGAAATGACTGGACTGATTTTAAGAATTCTTTTAGCTACGGGTCGCTACAACATGCGCGGATGACATCGGATATAATTAGCGTGGACGAAACAGCGGGAAACAGCTAGTAATGTGTAATCGTAAACATACCTTTTATTCTCTATACTAGCGATCTTAAGGCAGTACGCCTTCAAACATTTTTTAAAGAAACAGAACAGTTTTTATAAGTATTAAGTTTTTCAATTATTTCTCACCATAAGAAAAGACCAGTTTGTTTGAGAACCGATTAATGGTTTAGGGTTGTTGCACGGTGTGATATCTCGTCACGTCGGCGGCGACAGAGCGCACGCGCGTTGCACCCCTTAGTGCACCCTATACTTGTCCCGGTGCCCTTCCCAACTACCGCTTTCACTTCTGGTGGTCTTGGGATATCTATGAATCGCTTTTCACCTGTTTTCTAAACATTATTTTGTTTAACAATTTGTTTATAAGATAGGTTAGCGCATCATAAGGCTTTCGGATTGAAGGCTCACTAGGCCGACTCAGACTGTTCCCAAATATATTTATTAAATTATAAAATATATTTTTTAAAAATAAATATTACAGTTGTAAGGAAGTTCTTTTTATTCTCTTAAAGTCGGTTAATCAAAATAATCGTTAATATACTTTTTTTGTGATTTCAAATGCCTGTAAGAATTCCTAAATTATATTTAAAATACAATTTAAAAATAATGTAAATTGTTTTATACATTATCGAAATTAAAAAATTTAACATGTAATTAAAATGGTAACTTTTTGGAAGTATAAAATATTCAGTTCATTGAGACATGTCGCCAAAATAGATGGCTGTCAACCGTGAGGCAGTGGCAGTGACCCGCGTTGCACTAACTCGCCCACCCCCACACTGACACCCACTTCGCTCACCTTATTAACTATTGTATATACAATTAATAGCGAAATTACAAAGAATTCGATAAAAACATACATTCGAAGTTCGATTAAAATACGGTAATATAAAAAAATGGTAAATAGGTATATTTACGTTCTTGAATCTTTTAATGTTTCCAATTAAAATGAGAATTTTATGCTCTCCGTTATCACAATCACAATTAATCAATCGGTAAGTAATTTCGCACGTGCCTCTAACTTCTAATAAGCACGTACTTTGGTTAGAGTGTCGTGTAATATCTATAATCAGCATTTTTGTTTAAAAAGCAGAAACATATGCTATCTCCTAGACTAGATGGTTATCAGGACTTATCGGCGGGCGTGTGATGGTCAAGATCGACCGCATATCTGTGAGGAAGAGATAACACATTCGTTTTAATAATCAAACGGTAATAATAACATTGACCGAGTTCATTTTTAACATGTTACTAATTATTTACAGAAATGCAATTTTACTATTATTTTTTATACAAATGAGTTTATATAAATAATTTTAATCAAATAAATTAAATATTATTTTATTAAAAATATTTTTTATTATTAAGGAAACGTTTAATCTATCGTGTTCTAATCTATTATTAAGGGCCTATTTTGGTCTTATGTGAATAGAATAATTATTTCAATATGAAGTATGCAAATAGTTAACTTATGACATGCATAAAGAGAAAAAGAAAATGAGATTAACAGCGGCTGTAACACATTACTGATGCCCCGTTTGATCTGTCATTTTGATGGATCAATGTCAAAATGACAGTAGAGGTCAATAGGATAGGATGGCGATATTGCGTGAAATAGAGCATTATAATTCTATTTCAATAAAATACTCGCAAACTATTGTTTTAAATTTTGGTAATCTCAACCCTCAGATACTAACAAAGTGGCTCGCATATTTATTCGCATATTCATTATCTTACAGTTAAAATAGTATATTGACGATAAGAAATAAAGTAAATTGTAATTTTTGGCGGTCATTTTATATATTTAATTTTCTATTGTGAAAATTGTATAAATGTTTAATACAGCTATAAAGCAGCAGAATAAAGAAATATATGGATAATATTTGTAATTTCGAAATAAAAGTTAACTAAGTAAAATTTAGAAAATTTGTCTTAAAAAATATTTTAAAATTATGTATGTAAAATTTACCAAAGTGAACATAGAATTCATTTAATAACTATCTCTTATTTCAGTAATATCATGAAATATAAACTCGCTGAGATTATTTGTTTTATAATGAGTTATTTGATATAAAAAATATGATAAATTTATGACATAATTTTCGCACGGGTTAGTAAAAATCAGTAACCTACTTTAGTAGGTAATTGGCAATTACGGCTTAGGCAGAATATTTGTTACTTTTTATATGTGAGTGTATGTGTGCATCGGTAATGTTCACAAAATGCTGTCATAATAGTGTTCAATAGTTGTGTTACTGAATATTGAATTCTTAGAGACAAACTCTTAACCCTAACATAAAAAACCAATTATTAGTATATAAGTAAAACTCTTAAATAACATTAAATTTATATCGTAGTTCAAGCAAAAGCCAGTGTTAGTACAAAGAAACATAAAATAGTTTTTCTTATTAAAATTGCAATAGAAAATATATTGCAAGGTGTTGTCGGGCGGTATGTTGGAGTGCAGTGTACTCGAGTAAAGGTCAGAGTTAAGGTTATAGTAGATGTTGAACGGGCATTGCAACAGCGTTGCCGGCGTTGGGCGGGCGGTGCAGGGCGCAGGGCGAGACACCTGAGGGCGGTGGCGCAGGCGAGGCGCGGGGCGTCCGTGCAGATTCACTTTCGTCAGGCCACGGCCGCCCGACACGCCAGTGAGAGAAAGTTAGCCGCGCTGAGCGAACGACTCTCGCGGCCAGCGAGCGGGAGCGGCGTGCCGCGCACGCACGATACGCGCCTACACCGGTGCCGGCTTTGCCGTCCTTGCATTTCCCATGCATTCGCTCGAGTGAACCGATGCACTTTAATGTTCGAGTAAATAAGACACAGTGCTGAAGATTTCCGCATTCGATGTGTATTTACTAACAATGCGTAGACGCTTCGTAGTTTTTATTTAATATATTATAGACTGAGATAGGACTTTTTGGAAGAACTATGCAGTGCTATCCAAAGTTATCACCGAAGCACGAGCCGTTAGACGGCGGATGTGAGGAGATTCTGCCGGTGGTCCGCCGGGCAGAGTTGCCGGCTCCACCAGGCAAGGAGTTCCGGGCACCGATACTGCTGGCTGCATCAGCTCCGATGCCCACACATTCGGTCATACAGTGTATGCGCCCGCCACCACCTCCACCTCCTCCACCACCACCGCGTCTCCATAAGCCGCCATCCTTTGAGGAACCATCCAGCTCCATTCCGGATTTAGGTAAGAACTTATCTCTAAGGCAACTAACATTATCAATGACAGAAATGATTGAATTGGGGTCTTCAATTTCAGTTCGAAAATATTCTTTGTTTTAGTAGATACCTACATATTAAAACTGATTAAAATATTAAATTACATATTTATAACTTTAACGGGTAGTTTTCCAGGTGAAGGCTTTTTCGTTAACAAGTAAAATGTTCTTTTAGGACCTTGACATTGAAGTCTAAAATTTTTGCGTCATCAAATGAATGTAAATATTTCTGTACATTTAACAGCACAACTAAAATTAGCATTACAAAAAAAGCAAACACGTAAGATCACTCCAAATTTCTTTCATAGTATTCATTATGAAGTCTTTTTTGTCACTGTCGATCATCAAACGACCACTAAAGTTCCATATTATGTTGACATCACTAAACACTTACCGACACATAATTAGGGTCGTGGCACTGAATAAACTGTATTGCAATTGACCAGATTTTACCTTGGTCGTTATAAACTTCCTGCTTCGGAAAACTGTAACGTTGTATCTACGTTTCCGTGTGATGACGGCTTGTAACGAAGGTCGCACCTACATATATTGAGCGATATATTTTATTTATGTCTTCTTTATTGCAATATCATACTACGGGTTCAGGTAAAATGATTGGACAATTTCATTATGCGCTTCATTTGAACATATGTAATTATAGTGTACGTGATTAGATCTCTATACTATGTACAATAGTTCACAAATATGAACCATAATAAATTAAAAATTTAACCTCTTTCTCTCTTTTGTAAAAAAAAATACATATGGTTATCAATTATGCTGGGTAATTGGTAAAAAAACATTTTTGATCTGAATTGATATACACCACACTACATTGCAATAAATAAATTATTATTAGACACAATACGCATATTTCACTTTTAATGATGACGTAAATAATGAAAAAAAAGACTGGTCAATGCGAGTATAATGTGGGGGGTTGCGTACAAATATTAAATATTAAAACTTCTTATACGATTTCCTGTAATCAATAGGTGAAGAACATTTTTTTATTTTACTCCGAGTAATGTTGAATATAAAAGGGGAATGACCAACTTTTGCTTTTTTTAATATTTTTCATAAATTTATTGCAAAATATATATACTATCTCTAGATATTCTCGCAATCGCTTATTTAGTGACACTGAATAATATTTTTTTTTCAATTCACCACCTAAAAGTTGTCTCCACTGATAAAATTCATATTACACGTTCATATTTGGGTCAGTGACATATGTGTGTCCAATTTTAACTTAATTGTTTAATGGGTCCCAGAATTTTTCTACAAAATAAATATATATATATATATTAATACCAAAGCATTATTAATGCAAAAAAATATCAAATATAAAATAAATAATTAGGTTCTTTAAGTTTTGAGTGAATTGGCTGTGACAGTCTGACGGAGAGACAGATAGATATTTGTGTTTCGTTTGTGCTTTTTGGCGTATGGAACCCTAAAAATAGAAAAATAACAGTTATCGTGGTTGCCCATAAAACTGTATATTATAAAACAAAGTCCCCCGCCGCTTCTGTCTGTCTGTCTGATCGCGATAAACTCGAAAAGTACTGGATGGATTTTCATGAATGGTTTTCAACAATAGCAATCCTTGAAGAAGGTTTAAGTACATAGTAAGTTTAGGTTTTGTACAACGATATTAGTTCAATATGTCGGAAAAAATAAAGCCAATCGGAAGGTTTCCTCGAAAACGCTGCCAAAAACTTTTAAGTTAGAACAAAACATTATATGGTGGAATTGTATCTCTTTTATAGATCTACAAAAAAGTCCGCGGTGGAAAATACCACCTACATATGTCTATATTCCAGGGATAACCCACAATAACCATTTTTTTACGTATACCAAATGCAGTAGAACGATGGGTTATTTTCGAACCTATTTTTAACAATACAGTATTACTTAATCCTAATTCAAATAAATAAGTAAGATACGTTATTCATGCAATGTAGATCATAATTGCCTTTTACACTAAAAATAAAAAATATCCTGGCAAGCTATTAAATATCGATGAATGATGTATAATAATCAAATATACATTTCAAGTTCGATTGTTATTTTTAACTTGTTATATTTTAATTAGAGACAAATGAAGTCATTCCAAGTAACCATTATTAATCTTAGCTAAAAACGCAAAATCAGTTCATTAAGTAGAAGGGATGATGTTAAAACCATATAATGGCCGGGTTGACGAATTAATAATAATTAAAATATGTACTTGTATAATACCAGGAAAGGTTTTATCGATTGTTTGTTTGCATTGTATAGGTTCTGAAACTGATGGACCATGTTTTAAATATAATAATTTATAATAAACTCTTCCAATAACTTAAAATATCAGGTCCTAAAATTTGGTGGTCTAAAAATATCAATTTCGTATTATCTGCAAGATATGCGTGCAAACATGTGAAAGTCAATATTAAATATTATTATACAGAGAAAGGTATAGGTAGGTAGAAATCACGTGCAAGTTATATAGGTACTCTGTTTTTCTTTCATACATAAATGTATAATGTTATATATACTACACATCTTTATCTATATTCATTTAGATTTTCTTGAAATTTTCTATTACGCCTTGTCTCACACCGTGCTATTCCTGATGTTTGACATAAGCTGCAAAGCTTATAAATGCATCGTCGAACACACAACCGAATTAAAAAGGCAATAAAGGTTTTATTTGAGTGAACCTTTAATACTGCGACAGCACTTTTTTCTACGTTACATTAAGCTACTACGAAAAGCAGCGCTGGTTAATTAAATATCAGTTTTTTGTATGTAGCGTATGTGTATTTATTTCCTAGAGTCATGTTGGAAATGGAAATCATGTTACTCACTAACATGAATCTTATATAGCGAGAGTATTTCTTAAGTTTCTATATATCCTTAATACCATGGATATTCCTGATTTTTTATATATAAGCTTGATATAAGGACACTGTATGTATTTACGCGTTTTGTGGGTGTTGCAATATGTATATATATTTCCAAGACTGATCTAGGAGCAAGCAAAATAAATTACTAAACTGACACGAATCTGATTCATACAGCTTTATTGTATTATTTAAATTTTTATAGTGAATTGGTAAATAGTTAACATTTATGATATCAAATAAATATTTATTGACTAACAATAAACAACAAAGAAGTGATTATGAAAATAGTACACGAAACCACATCGGATAATAATCCCCTACATACCTATTTTTGCGAATGGCAGATTAGATAAATATCACAAGGTCAGTACATCGTGTAGTGACGACGCGTCATTCGGTGTCATTAAGGTCACTGTGACATTGGGCAGATAACAGTGACAAAATAATAGCTGTATCTTATCTGGCAATGTCGAATGCGCGAGCGCAACAGGTGCTGCTGCGACCCCTGCACCCCGATATTAACAAACCTTACCGCGAACTTGATACAATTTTGTTGTTCAACATATTTTACCACATACATGTACTGACTGATCAATCATTTTAAATAAATAAAAGTAAATGCTCCAAAAGGTGACTTATTAACAAAGTCAAACGGATCATTAAATGTTATGCACACCGCTTACGTCATAAATGTAAACTCTTTTTTTTATAAATTCAAAGACACAGGTAGTTTTTACAAAGCGGATTCAAGCTCTCAAAGTAAATAAATTTCGTAATATTTTTTTCCCCCTAAATTCAAGCTATACTTTTTTTTTTATAAATAAATACAATGAAAATTTGGTGAATATGCATAAATACTGTTACTCGTTACCCGTGAATTTCATTACCAACATTATCAGATCAGGCTTCTCAACCATATCCACACAAAAAATCATAACAAGCGACGTAGAAGTAGAACATACAAACATACTAATTTTCCTATGCATAACATTAGTATGCATAACATTAGTATGGATACAATATAAGTGAAATATGTAAATATGTACAATGAAATCTATCATCAAACATTTATATCCATCATTTTTATTCATCTTTCTGTTTTTACAAAGCAGTCATATTTTATTTCAACGATATCTAAATATTATTAGTGCAGTGTTTCTAGTTGTTTAAAAGCTTCGTAAATGTTAATTAGAGGTTGTCTTTATTTATTAACATTTAAAAAGTATAAACACCCCTTTTTGCATTTCATTTGTAGAGAATTAAAGATCAACACTAGTCGGTTATATTTGGTTGGCAACAATTATTTTTTACTAAAGTTATCAATTCAGGATTGACCTAAATATTATTTACAGGGTCAAAATAAACTTCATAATAATTATCAGCAGGAGGCGACAGATGTATGTTACATAGATAAATATCATGCCAACAGGCAAAGCAAATGTAAACTAGGTATCGTTATACGATATAGGTATACCAATTGCTACTTATACCACTGTGCATAAAGAATTAAATAAATAAAAAATTTCTCAACTGTCTGGCCAAAGAAGATCTGACTACGTTCAGTGATGACGAATCAGGCAGGACAAGATATTTTATAACTTTATATTATGCCACCGGAAGATATTGTAGACCTTTTGATATGAATGAAAAATTCAAGGACTAATTATTAAAGTCAGAAGATATTTTAACTTTACAATTAAATGAACAAATTATTATTAGATTTCAAATGTTAATGTTGGAGTTAGAGTGGGAACACTGTGTCCTTGTCGCTCTCCTGTGGTATTTACGGTTTATTAGATTTACGACATAAGTGTAGTATATTTCTATCCGATTGAATTATTTAACCCAATTAAATTTATTTAAACTTGAAATCATACATTGATGTGGTAAACAATTTCAGCATCAAGCCTAATACGCATTTTTTTTAATAATAACATTAAAATCGTAATATGCAACATCACGACATAGGAACTAAGATTCAACAATTGAGCTAGATACCTTATCATAACCTTCTGTAGTATACTTCATTATTACTTCCTGGTAATAATTGTTCGCAATCCTAATCTTCCTGGTTTACA